TTTACCGGGCAGTTCTATTTGTGACGATATATATATACGGCCCCTTGTTTGTTGTCCTCTTCTCCCTCTCTGCCTATGGTTTACCGGGCAGCTCTGTTCGACTATATATATATAGATATAGATATAGATATAGATATATGTTTTTGTCTGCTGCATTACTATTTATGAAGTTTTCTTTTTTTGTTTCGCTTTGGTTTTCGAAGCCGTTCTTCGACTTTCCCATGCTGCTAACTATTGTACTATTGTGATGGCATTTAGCACCAACCCACTGTCTATGACTTACAGCCCAGCCATAGCATATGGTACCCGGTGGCAGATCTGCAGTTTAGGTGAAGTATAAAATAAACACATACAGACAATTACGGAGTGTACGCAGAGTACATACACAGGTACTGGTGTGCATACATGTCTGCATGGTAGCCATTGTGTATGTACATGCGACATTGCGCCTTACCAGCTGGCACACCTGCAGCACATGTACATACATAAATACATGCATACATCCATGCATGCATACATGTGTACGTGTGTAGATACATACGTACATACATGCATACATGTGTACATGTGTAGATACATACGTACATATTACATGCATATATTTATGCATGCATACACGTGTACGTGTGTAGATACGTACGTACCGACATGCATACATTCATGCATGCATATGTGTATGTGTGTAGATACATATGTACATACATGCATACATGTGTATGTATGTATGTATGTATGTATGTATGTATGTAACAGTATGTTCATCACTGGGTTGGGATACGTCCTTGTAGGGGGTGCCTACGCCTATGGATTTTGTCTATGTTTCTATTTTTTACAGGTTTCTGGAATCTGAGAGTTACCCTCGACCCTTGTAGATATGTAGGTAGGAAACTGGTGTGAAACATAGCCATTTTGGGGGGATTTGCATTGGACAAGCTACAACACCCCCCGCACCTCCACCCCATAGCCATTTTGGGGGGATTTGCATTGGACAAGCTACAACACCCCCCGCACCTCCACCCCACCCCACCCAGCGGGGTTGCACACACACACACCTGCCACACAACATTCTTCTTCTTTTTTTTTCTTTTTTTGAAGTAAACATCGATGAGATGCCTATTATTGGAGGTGATAAGGGCACTCTCCAACAATAGGCTCCCTGTTATAGATGGCTCCGATCTGTATTGCTGGGGAGCTGCACCAGCTGGAAACCGGGTCCAGCATCCCAATTACTGAAAACGGAGCAAATTATGAATTGCAGCTGATGAGCAGCATTGATTGCCCTCAAACGAGGGGATTAACTGCTCATCAGACTGCACTTTGGCTGCTAACCCTTCCATATCAACCTCCCACCAAATCATCTAACCTCCTACATAACCTACAGGGAGGGAGTCTCCAGACCCCTCCAATCCAAAAACTCCCAACTCGCCCACCTATCCCATGCACACGTCAAATCACAATTGTTTTATGCGCATCATCAAGGCAACCCCCACCGGTCAACCCTAATCATCCACCCCTACAGCGTGCAGGCACCTGTTATCATTGAACTTCTATCC